AGCTCCCTCCTGTGATGGTACCATGCATAGAGTCAATTAAATCCTTGTGATGTTTTGTATGGCTGTAGACTTTGGCGCAACATGTAAATAATGTGTACAGCAAGTTTTTATGATTAAGGAATTAAATTTATTGAATTTTATTATTGAGAACAACATGTACGAACAAAACCCAATAAAAGAATATACTCTTTTCATGGACTGTAGTATTATGTGAATGTTACATTTATTCTGAACATTTAGGGGCTGCAAAATGTAATGAGAAACTCATGACTAGATAGAAATATTATTTTTAGATAGTATGCCCTTGATTAAAATATATTCTCATTTTTAACAGGTTAAACATTTGAAATCTTAAAATGTTATTTACTTTTTGATAGATAAAATTCAGTTTTGCAATTGCTAGAATTGTCAAAAGTTCCACGGTGATTAAAATCTGAATTGATTTTCATTGCATATGGAATTGCCAAGCTAAAAATGTATATATGTATACCCTTTTAAAAAGGAATCTGATATATCTTGTCAAGCCAGGAAATTGAAAGGTAAGAGCTATGGTTTATCTTATGCTGCATAGAATATTATTCACTTTCTTACTTGAAAACCTAATTGTAAGGGGTTTTTTTGTGCATAGTTTTCATCTAAAATTAAGTTTATCAAAGGTCGACTTTAACCATGGTTAATAGGAAATGCCTTTAACTAAAATTGCCAACCTTTACCAATATTTAACAAGTATTTTTGTTAAAAAAATTAACAAAAAGTAATTACTTTTACTGTAGTAGAAGCTTAGGATAGCATGAAATAAAACCCAGGAAATTAGATTAGTGTCAGCAGTTGCTCAAGATTCTAACTGATAGATTGTTTGGTAAAATTTGTGGAAAAAGGGAATGCAAAGAGAATTTGCTTAAGTTTTAAAACATTCATGTTTCAAGAAAATCAGAGGTCTGAGAGGAAAAATAAACTGGTTGATTACATTTTTGGTGACAATCCTTCCAGAAATATTTTGTATTTTTATTTAAAAAATGTATCCTGCTGTACCAGGTTTAATAAATTCTTTTAAACTATAAGCCAGAAACTGAGATTTTGCATTGTTTTGTATTTTGTTATTGTGTCTGGATATAAACAATTTTATTAGTCCATGAAAATAAAATATTTGGAAAAAATATAGATTAGTACTAGTAATTTAAGTTGCTGTTTTGGTAACAACAAAAAACCTTTTTGGTTTAGGGAAGGAAAGCCTGAGTAAAATGAAAAATTCAGAATATAGGATACCTGTTTCCAATCTGATGAAGATTTATTTCACTAGCTGTATCTTTTGGGGTTTAATTCTAGGAACTCTTTATTTTAATGTGTATTTACCATGTTAATCTTTGTTAGCAGCTATACATAACATCTATACTTGCTGAGAGCCATTGCCAAGTAGGAATGACGCATGGCATGACCCAGGTCATT